TATGTCCAGTATTTACAATCATAAAGTCTTTCCTAGCCTAAAAACTGAAATGGCAATGTCATATGACTATGCAATCCACCTCTTCCTTCCCAAAGGTCTTGATTAATTTGAAATGAATATAAAGTAGCACAATCAGTCAAAAGTAGCCTACCTCACTAGCAAATGATAAATAATTTTCCATTCAGAATTCCCAGACTTCATAATCTGGCAGTCAGCTTTCTTATTTTGTTTTGAAAGTCTTTCATGACCTTACAAACTGTACTGTTTATTTTGTGAGAGTGTGAATGAAGAGAGCTGTTTCCATTAAAAGCAAAACAAAACTGAAAAGGGAAAAAACACCATTAAAATATTCTATTTCACTTTATAAGTCAGTATACATCAAAATTGCTGCTGATTTCATTTTTGAAGGAAAGAAGCAAATGCCCACATTACTTAATCTGTCTGAGTTCTCATTAGCACAACTCATTCCACCAAATTAAGTGCTGTGGTCTCAGGATACCCTGTGGAAGGTTAAAAGAATCAGCCAAAGCAACAAGCAATCTTCCCTGAGATACTGCTTTAAGTCCAGTGTGAGGTTTTACTTTAATATGTGATTTCCAACTCACTCCCCACAGGGCAAGGTATTCCCTATAATTAAAAGCAGCAAATAATACAACCCATCCCTTCTGTATTTGCACCATAATGTATCAAAGCCCAAGGAGCACAAAAGATAAATCATCCCATCTCCCTAAGAGTATGACATTTTGGACTATCATCAGATCTGCTGGAAACCTGCAGGCCAGAAAGAAAGGCAAACAATAGGGTTTGAACACTGCTAACCTATCTCTTGGGCTTGCTAGAAACATTGGGAGCATGTCACTTTGAAGTCATTAGTTCTACACCAACAGGTATTACCATTTTTATGGCTTTCTTTAGGAGAATAAAGTGAATCTCACAGGTCTCAAAACATGTTTAGGAACACTAGTTCCCACTTTCCCACAGAAAAGTAAAAGACTCTTTCACATTGCCTTTATATTATCTTTACTCCATCTTATATCTTATTAATTATTTAAGGCATGGACTGAATCTGACACTTACATATATATACAATAGACACCACCTAAGTAGTCAGAAGATGAAAACAAAATAAAACCCAGAAACTACCACTATGTCCAAAGGGAGATAAAAGTGGCTACTTTATGGAAGTTATAACATTCAAATGAGCGAGTTGGAGCTGTATTATTTCACCCAATACTATTTCCCCACAATGTTCTTCTCCAGATCAATTTTACCTGTTACTTCCCCACCATCTGCAATCTCACAGAATTATTTTTATACATTTCTCAAACTTAGAATTATTACAGAAAATTATGCCAAGTGGTAGGAGTGATTATACAAAATGGCTTAATAAGGCACAATTTAGTGTTGTTACAGTGGAGACACACACTGAAACGTAAAAATCGTAGGTATATGAATCATATGGAAGGTTAGTAGGTTCCATTTTAATCCCCTCTTCATTATTTCTAGTTAAAAAATAACTAAACAAAAACTAAAATTACGAAAAGAGCAATCAGTGACTAGAAACCAATAGATTCTGACTAACCAAAGCTATTAGCACTTTAAGTCATATACATGTTAAATACAGTTACAAAGTTAGACTTGAAGTCTGTGAACTCACATTTATGAGTAAAGGTACTTAATCTCGTCTATGTTGGTCATTATGCTTATCAGGGTCTCTCTAACTTTCAAACCAAGGAATCCTTTTGATACTTTTTCCTCTGAGGTCTCAATGTTTTTCAAAAGTCTAACAAACAGATTGCCTTTATTAATTTGTACCTGACTTGTATTATTGTTTTTCTAGTTTCAACACTGATCCTACCTTTAACCAAAGAGCTAGAATCATCCCAAGTTAATCATCATTACTGTTAGCATTGGGGTGGTGCAAAGGTAATCAGCATTAGAGACTCAAGCACTATCACTACTGACGTCATTTTTAAATCACTGTTTGTTAGTTCATACTCTTATGACATGTGAACCCCTGGATATGTTCACTTAGGAGGTGTAGCACCTGGAAAGGCACTCTGTCACAGTGTCTATCCCATATGCACCCCCAGAATTTTTTGTAAAACCATCAGTGGTCAATCAGAGGCCTTGAATGTCATAAACTGACCACTATTATTCCTCTAAATGGAAATATTCTAGACAAAAGTAAAGAAATTTATGTTTTAGTTAACTGTGTTTAATGCTACTAAGCTTTCTCGAATAGCTCATAGACACAACCTCTTACTAACTTTGTGGACCATTTCAGCCAAGTGAAAAAAATAAATAACAGTGCTGCTCAGCTCTGATTCACAGAAACTCACCAGCTGTAATAGTGAAAGGGCTTTGATGAGAAACCTGAGTCCTGGCCTCCTGGGTAAAGCTCTTATCATTGTGATTAATTTTCTTCAGAAAATGAGAACCCTTTCAGATCTCAATTTCTGAGTCTCTGAATTCTCAAAGTTGAGAGAAGTGAGTAAGCAGCAATATTCATTTCAATGACAACAATTTAAGCTATTAAATCTTTTTACTGGATGCCAGACTACTTGAAGATACAGAATAAAATGTACAATAGATTAGTGATTTTGCAATTATCTTAGATAATCTAACTGTATAATGCAAGACTTCAAGGAAGCTTTGGCATTACTTATTAGCTTGTGCATCAAATTCACATGAACGTAGTTAAATTCACATTCCATCTTGCCCTAGGAGGAAACCAGACTGCCAAGAGTTGCTTCAACTCCCTTTAGTAAGCAGCACATCTTTTTAAAAAGTGGGGAGGGTTGAATAAATGCTTAGGCTATGTGGCATCCACCTTAATAAAAAAAAATGAAAGTAATTCACAAAAGTTAACCTGTGCTCAATGCTCTCAGCATTTAGAGTACAGAAATTCCTAAGCATTCTAATTATCTTTTTCATAGAATATATGTGATGTTTTGCTTTTTTTTGTAGTTTGAAATTATCTTTTGTAATGCCTAGATAAGGTTAAAACAATAATCTCCTCAATGGTATTGTGAATGCACCTGCTTGCCAATTCAAATAATTTTGAACAAACATAATATTTAAACAGATGGAGTCAGAGAAAACTGCACTATTTGAACAGCCAAGGGAGGGTCTGCTTCATTAACAAAATGCAACAAGTATTCACAGTGTAAATCAACTTGTAGTAAATTTGCAAAAGCATCTTCAAGGATAAAATTACCAGGAGAAAATAGTGTCTTAAGTATACCAAACATTATTTTTACACTTGAATACATTAAAAATAAGCTTAAATGCAATACGAATGGTAAAACTAGAGACTGGATGATATGAACTCATACCACAACATATACAAAATTTTACTTTAGAAGAGTTGAGAAGAGGCCGTGGGTGACTGCCTCATAACAGACTCAATTGGAGCAACTGATTAGGAAGTATGGGATTCACCCAGGAGTGGAGTAGCAGGTTAACAAAAACACCACAGGGCATTCAAAACTTACCTGAGTAATGGTGGCTTTCTGTGTGGCAATTTGTCTGGGATTGGGAAATGCTATTATGACCTATTTCTCTTCTCCAAAATGAGGAGTCTCCCTAGGATCTCAAGATCTCTTCCATATGTAACATTCTGTGAATCAATACCTAAGGTTAGGTTACCTGAAGGAACTGTTACTAGTCTCCAGCTGTAGGGAAATATCCCGCAAGCATTCTCAGAGAATAAATGATTTCAAAATAGTTGCTCAGTTTGCGTGTGTTTTTAAAAGTTGGGTAAGAACACTTAAATTTTTTTCTAAAAGGGCAGATCTTAAGCATGCAACAGTGTTAACTATAGGTGGTTTCATAGGTGTACACTTACCTCCATGATACTTATACACCTATGAAACCACCAACAGTTAGGATTGACTGGTATGCATACCTTTTCACATGTCAATCATACCTCAAAAAACAAAGGTTAGCTAAATAAGGGTAGGAGAGTGTAGGCAGACTGAATTTACCCTGAACTACAGTTATAAAGTAGATTCGAAACCTCTGCAAATTTCTAAAGATGCCTCACACAGTTAAGTTAATATTCCAGAAAACTAACAAATGTCTGTGCAGCTAGGTACGCCTTAAGCAAACTACAATCTTTCTGGATCTCCAGGTCTTGTCACAAACTGAGGGAACTGTTACCCATTTCTACAGATTCAGCATTCCATTAAAAAGATTTCCTAGACAGTTGCTATTGTAAACATTTAACCACTTAGGACAACTGGGTTCTTGTTTTGAAACCAAAGTTGGCCGACCTTTCACCTGAAACAAACTTCTTACCTTTTGAGGGAGAAAAGGCATTTTACTCTCCCCCCTCCGAAAGCATTTGGAAAGCATCTGTTATTAGGTGGTTATGCACCAATCCTTTATCTTTCATCAGTAATAGTGTGTTTCATTCATTAGGCCCGCCCAAATAGCCCACAGCCACTCCACGAATCTGTATGCCTTCTTCAGTGTTTGGATTTGACGTCCTGGCTGTATGGCAATATAGGAAACGCATGAATTTAACTTCGCTTTTTATTCACCGAGGAAAATTTCTACCCCGCTTAAGGGAAGCTTTCTCTCTAGCTAACAGAAGAAAAGTGCTCGGGCTCCACCTGTTTCGCCTAGCTACAGCACTCATTCGGACCCTCGGCAGACCCAGCTCTGGCAGTATCGCACCGGGCCAGGCAGGCAGGAATGCACCAGTGCTGCTGGGAATCAAAGTGGATGGGAGCCGCGTTCGAATCCGGCCCGCGGCTGGTGAGCTGACGGCTCCCGCCGGCCCCGGCCGACCCAGGCGGGGAGGAGGAGGCGAGGCGTCCGCGGCAGCCCCATACCCAGCGGGTGCAAGCAGCGTCCTGTCCCCAAAGATTCCTCTGCCCTCAAACACTAACAAAAACACGGCGTCCTGCGTTTCGCAGGGGGTCGGGAGGAGCCGCGGAGCTCTCCCGAGAGAAAACCCCGGGAAGAAGGGGCGGCCGGGTCCCGCGACTCACCTTCTGCTGCCTGCGGGCCATGTCGGTGGGCTGCTTGGCGTTGAAGGGGTACGCGATGCACCTCACGACGAAGACGTAGAGCTGCAGGCGGATCCTCCGCTCCTGCTCATCGTCCAGCGGCCGCTCGGGCTCGTCTCGCCCCTCGCTGAGCACCGAGGGGCTCGGGCTCACGGATCTGGCCGCGCCGCCGCCGCCCGCGCGCCCCGGCGCGTCCCGCCGCCCTTCCCGAGCCGGGGCCGGCGGAGCTCGCTGCGAGCCGCCGGCTGCCACCAGCACATCGCGGCTCTCCTCTTCCAGCCCTTCGTCCGACTCCTCTTCGCTGGAAGACGGGTCCAGCATGGTGCTCGGGGGTCCCCGGCTCTCGGTCCGCGGCCACCGGGCGCCTCACCGCCGCCGCCGCCGCGCCCGCGGGTCCGACGGAGCCGCTGGGTTGGCTGCAGCGGCCGCAGAACGAAAGGAAAACTGGCCAGGGCTTTCCGGACACGTCGAGTTAGACTCGGGAGTGTTTCCTACCGCCGGGGCGCAGGGGGCGGGCGGGAGCCGGGAGGAGCACTGGGAGGGGGAGAGGGGGAGCCGCGGGGACTGGAGAGGCGGAGTTAGCGTTGGGGGTGCGCCCGGGCGCCTCGGGAAGCGCTCAGCCGGCCCCGGGCGCGCCGACCCTGCGGCTCCTCGGAGCACGCCGGCTGAGGCGGCGCGGCCCGAGCGCGCGGACGCAGGTGAGGAACCTGTGGCGCCTTCAACGAGCAACACGTGGAACGGAATGTTGAGGAGCCGCGCGGGGCCGCCGAGTGCGCGTGCGCGCGCCGCCGCCGCCGCCGCCGCCCGGCCCGAGTGCCCCAGCGCACAGTTTGCAAAGGCGGGGGCGGCCGCCGGGGCTGCTCCGAGTACCCTCACCCCACCACCTAGGATCTCTTCTCCCGCAGGTGGAGGTGGAAGGGGGGCCGGGGAGGGGCTGTTCACTAGCCAGAGGTGAGGTGGAGCGGCCGACACGTCTCTCCAACCCTAACCTGCCGCCCAGGGTTGGACCCCAGCGCGGACGAGAGGGACTGGAGCCCTTCACCACGAAATCGCTTTGCGACGGGACTTTGAAAAGTCTCCCTCGCTCTGCTCTGCTGCCGTGTGATGCTCGTGCTGAAGCCTGAATTATAAAAGTCGGAGTAATGAAAAGGGAAAAAAGAAAAAACAAGGCGTACTTTTTAAACTGTTCTATTTCTATTCCTGCAGACTCACAGCAAGAGAGATTTTTATATGTGCGAACGACGCTGATTCCGCTCAAACATGTCTCGGTGATTTTCTGGGTTGCGATGCAGTTGACTCAAAACAAGTTGTGTAGTGCAGACATTTATTCAGCAGATATTTGAGCGCCCTCCAGGCGTCCAGCACTGTGAGCCTTTTCCGGAGCCCGCGGAGCACTAAGGCACGGGACACGCAGACGTTGATGGTCTTGGCCTCAAGTGGGCGTCTCGCAGCTGCACAGAAGCCTGCCTTATCTGCGCAGATTTCTCAGTCCTAGTGCTGGAACCACCCAGGAGTTTCTTGTAGTAATTCTGTATCTTGTGTCCTTAGCCCTGACAGAGGGAAAGAGGGAAAACAATGCATTCAACACCAGGTGGAGTATGCAGCACCAGGTGGGCAGGGAGGTGATGAAGCTCAATGGAAGTAACACAGGGCAAATAAATGACCAGCTCTGAGCTCCTCTACCCCAATGGTCAAACAGCAGTTTTAGCTTTTTCAGGCCACTTTCATATAGTTAGGTACACAAGAGAGACTTTCCTCTTGCATTAACTGACATTCTCTCTAGATACGGTAAAAGACAAGGAGGCGTTTACTGCAGAGGAGTCTTGCCTATCTGCCTTTGCCTAATCTTTAACAGGTCCCCTAGTAATAAAACGTCTTCAGCGAGAGCATGGCTGTGGCATTATCACTAATTGCCAAGGAATAGGAAATCTCAAACACCGAGTATTTAAAAGCAATGTTTTATTTTTGCCAAGGTAAACAAATAGCAATCTTACTCATTTGCCTTAATATCTGATGCTTATCTAGCACTTTGCAAAGATCTGTGAAATTGTTTATCTCATATCTTTATCAAAGTAATAACCTTCCGAGGCAAGTGATATCATTACTGATTGCCCTTTGAACCAGATATTGCACTAAGCTCTTTAGATACATTATCTCACTATTTTAGGTTCCATTGTTCAAATAAGGAACCTGAGAGAGAATCCTTTCCTCAGGGTACAGAACTAGCACCTAATGGAATAAGGATTCAAAACAGTTTTCTAGTTTCAAACAGTGTCATTGTCTGCCGTAATTTGCTCTGATAAGTCAGTATATTAAATGTCTGAGGTTTACTAAACTAATAAAAATTTCTAGGGACATAAATGTATGATATGAATAGAGCAACTTTACTGCCTTTTTCTTTCCAACCATGGGTATATTTTTCAGTTTCTTTTACTAATTAATACTACTTAATGTGATCAGTTATTCTTTTCCCATTAAAGGTGGTTAATAAATCAAAGATCTCCAAGCCTTGAAGATCCCACAGGAAAACCTCTAATAATATTTAGAATAGCATAGCATATACAGTGTTTTCGCCATGAAGATAAAAATGGCTTAAGAGGCATAAATTAAAGAAATATCTAAAAGAGAACAAAGAGAATGTTTAAGCAGTTCATTAATTAAACATACATAGTTTAAGAAATTAACATATGCTGCTCTCCTCCTGCCGCCCAAGGTGCCAAAAGGAAAGAAGGCAAAGGGGAAGAAGGTGGCTTCCGACCCTGCTGTCTTGAAGAAGCAGGAAGCCAAGAAAGTGGGGAATCCCCTGTTTGAGAAACGGCCTAAGAATTTTGGCATTGGACAGGACATCCAGCCCAAAAGAGACGTCACCCGCTTTGCAAAATGGCCCCACTACATCAGGTTGCAGCAGCAGAGAGCCATCTTCTGTAAGCCGCTGAAAGTGCCTCTTGCAGTTAACCAATTCACCCAGGCCCTGGACCGCCAAACAGCTACTCAGCTACTTAAGCTGGACCACAAGTATAGACGAGAGACAAAGCAACAGAAGAAGCAGAGCCTGATGGCCCGGGTCGAGAAGAAAGCTGCTGGCAAGGAGAACATCCCCACTAAGAGACCACCTGTCCTTCGAGCAGGAGTTAACACCTTCACCACCTTGGTGGAGAAAAAGAAAGCTCAGCTGGTGGTGATTGCACAGGACGTGGATCCCATTGACCTGGTTGTCTTCGTGCCTGCCCTGTGTCGTAAAATGGGAGTCCTTTACTGTATTATCAAGGACAAGGCAAGGCTGGGACGTCTAGTCCACAGGAAGACCTGCACCACTGTCGCCCCGCCCTTACACAGGTTAACTCGGAAGACAAAGACGCTTTGGCTAAGCTGGTGGAAGCCATCAGGACCAATTACAAAGACAGATATGATGAGATCCGCCATCACTGGGGAGGCAATGTCCTGGGTCCCAAATCTGTGGCTTGCATCGTCAAGCTGGAAAAGGCAAAGGCTAAAGAGCTTGCCATTAAACTGGGTTAAGTGTACACTGTTGAGGTTTCTGTACATAAAAATAATTAAAACAAAAATTTTCCTTCAAAAAGAGAAAAAATTAACATATGCTAAAGCTATTCTGGATATCTTTAGGGAAAACAAGATATAGGCCTCAAGAAGTTTATCAGTTAAGGAACCACAAATGAAAAAAATTATTTATTTTAAAAAATCAATATTTGAATTGCAATCTGATGATTATTCTAATAATCTGGAAGATAATGGCAATACAGAGAAGAAACACTTCATTCAGAAGATAGTAAGTGATATGGTTTGACTCTATGTCCCCACCCAAGTCTCATCTCTAATTGTAATCCCCATGTGTAGAGGGAGGGATTTGGTGGGAGGTGATTAAATCATGGGGGGTGGTTTCTACCATACTGTTCTGTGATAGTGAGGGGGTTCTCACAAGATATTTATGGTTTAAAAGTGGCTGTTTCCCCAGCTCTCTCTCTTTCCTGCTGCCTTGTGAAGAAGGTACTTGGTTCCCCTTTGCTTTCTGCCATGATTGTAGATTTCCTGAGGCCTCCCCAGTCATGCGGAACTGTGAGTCAAGTAAATCTCTGTTGTTTATAAATTACCCCATCTTAGGTATTATCTTTATAGCAGTGTGGAAACAGACTAATATGTAAGAGAAGGCTTCCAGGTTGCTTGACATATATGTTGAAGAATAATTTAGAGCTGTTTGAAATGAGGACACTGTAGATAGGAAGATAATTATTTGCAAAGGTGTGAAATTGTTTCCCAGTTTGGAGAACTACAAGTAAACTGGCATGCCTGAAGGGAAGATTGTATATAATATGAAAATGTGGAATATGAGACTAGAGAATAAGCATAGGCAAATTCAGGATTGGTCCTATGTGCCAAGCTTTGGAATTTAAACATATCCTGCAGAAAATGGGGAAATACAGAAGGGGTTTTAAGTAAGGTAAGACATACTGTAATCCATAACTCTTAAGAGTCAAGGGCAGTGAAACCAGATTCAAACTATAAGGAAGAGATTACTAGGGACATCTGAGAGAGAAACAATGGGGCTTTGAACTTAAGAATGAGGTCAAGCAGAGGAGGAAAGTTGATGAGATGGACAAAGGAATTAATAGAATATGTATGGTGCTGAGGAAGAGGGTCAAGCATAGAAGATGCTTGTCAGAATATGGTAACTTGATTAGTAATTGATAAAATAAAGTCTTCTAGAAGACAAGTATGTTTGGAGAAGCATCAGGTCTTTGAGGAGCTTAAAGAACACATATGGATGAAAAGGTTCAGAAATTGTGTTCAAAGTGAGAAGAGGGACAGCGATGGGTCTCTGGGGGAACTTCCTTGCCTCTCCTCTAATTAAGGGATGGTTTGAAGAAAAGTTACCTGAAAAGAAGACCTGATCCTTAATTAATTGTACCCAAATAATTTTAAGGTTTTTTATTTTGTGCTTACACTGATATTTGTGACAAATTTCTACCTTATGTATTAACTTTTCAAGTCATTATAATGTTGGTTGATGCTCTGGATTAATTGATTAAATGATGTTCAAATAAGGCTTCATTGGGCACACAGCATAAATGCACACAATACACTTAAACTTATTCAGTGATTCATTTTACTTTTGTCAAGGTGAGCATAAAAACAAATTGAATTTATACTGCTTTTTAATGAAAGATCTCTAATGCTAAGGAAAGATGGATTCACAGTAATAAAATGGAATATAAAATGTGTTTTTGGCAATAATATTTAAGGAAATGGGTGTGTGACCTGAATACCATAGGTGGGCTGTTTTCTGGTTGGGAATTAGTTTGTGCATTTAGCCTGAAAGTAAAATGTTAACTCTTTCAACTCACAGATGAAATCATTTTTTTTGTCATAGAATAGACATTATTTGGGTACCCACTTTAGGTTGTGCATTATTCTGAGTACATAAAAACTAAAAATTTACCCCCTCAGAGAATGCATATGAAACAGATATGAGAACAAATTAAACAATTATGATAATATATGCTCATGTGCCATTAGAGAAAAATTCTCAAAATATTCCTTAAATGTCTTGAAAGTAGACAGTCTATTATCTTTTATAGGATAGTTATAACTAAAATGATTGTACGACAGAAAGAGGAATCTTTTTTAGGACAAATGGAAGAATCAATTTTGTAACATCTATGGGAAAACTGTCAGCTCACGAAGAAATATGCTCTCACAAAAGTAAGATACAAACAATATTT